CCTGCTTTTCATGGACTTGCAGGTGAAGACCCTCACAAACACTTGAAGGACTTCCATGTGGTGTGTTCAAGTATGAAACCCACAGGGGTTACTGAAGAACAAATCAAGTTGAGAGCCTTCCCATTTTCTTTGAAAGATTCAGCAAAGGATTGGCTATATTATTTACCTTCCGGGAGCATCACCACATGGAACAACTTGAAGACAATGTTCCTTGAAAAATATTTCCCAGCTTCAAGGGCGGCCAACATTAGAAAGGAAATATGTGGTATACGGCAAAACAATGGAGAGTCATTGTATGAATATTGGGAGCGTTTCAAAAAGTTATGTGCAAGCTGCCCACACCATCAAATCAGTGATCAATTACTCATTCAATACTTTTATGAAGGACTTTTTCCGACTGATAGGAGCATGATTGATGCCACGAGCGGTGGTGCTTTAGTTGACAAGACACCGGACGCTGCGAGAACTCTAATTGCAAACATGGCTGCAAATTCTCAACAGTTTGGCAATAGAATAGTCCAACCGTCTAAGCAAGTGAATGAGGTAAATATTTCTGCTCTTGAGCAACAAATTACTGGTTTAACTACTCTTGTTCGTCAATTAGCTGTCGGCAATGTGCAATCTGTAAAAGCATGTGGAATTTGCTCGGTAGTTGGGCACCAAACTGATGCCTGCCCAACTCTTCAAGAAGAACCTACTGAACAAGTTAACATGGCTGGAGGTTTTCCTGGGCAACCTCAAGGTAAGTATGATCCATTTTCTAACAAATATAATCCTGGATGGAGGGATCACCCAAACCTTAGTTATGGGAACTCACAAGGAAACCAGTTTGTTCAGAATCGCCCCAATTTTCAGCAGTATAGACAACCATTTCCTTCCAAACAACAACCAGTCCAAAGCTCTAGCGCAGGTATGAATTTAGAAGAAATTGTTAAAACCCTTGCTACAAACACTTTATAGTTTCAGCAGGAAACACAACAATTTCAACAAGAAACAAGAGCTAGTATTCAAGAAACGAAGGCTAGTATTCAGAACTTGGAAAGGCAGATGGGTCAACTAGCGACTACGGTAAGTCGGTTGGAATCACAGAGTTCTGGCAAACTACCCTCGCAAACGGTGGTTAATCCAAGAGAAAATGCAAGTGCAATTGTGTTAAGAAGTGGTAAGGAAATTGAAGGGCCTGCGGTTGCTACCCCATCAGTGAACCAAGAAAAAGAGGGAACTAACAACAATGAAAAATCTCAAGGTAAGTCTCCCAACCCTACTGATTATGAACCAGTTCCCCCATTCCCCCAAGCTTTGTCAGAATCTATAAAAGGAACGAAAGATGAAGAGTTATATGAAACTTTCAAAAATTGTGAAGTGAATATCCCGTTACTTGATGCAATAAAACAAGTTCCTAGGTATGCTAAGTTCTTAAAGGAGTTGTGTACAACAAAAAGGAAACAAAGGCCAAAGAAGGGTGATAAAGTGCTAATGGGTAAGAATGTTTCTGCTGTAATTCAAAGCAAGCTTCCTGAAAAATGCAAGGATCCAGGTATGTTTAGTATTCCCTGTATGATAGGCGATACTAAACTTGAGAAAGCCATGTTAGACTTAGGAGCATCTATTAATGTTATGCCATATTCTGTGTATGCGTCTTTAAAACTTGGACCTTTGAATAAAACTAGTGTAGTTATCCAATTGGCCGATAGGTCTAATGCATATCCTAGGGGTGTAATTGAAGATGTATTGTTGCAAGTTAATAATTTAATCTTCCCTATTGATTTCTATGTGCTAGATATGGAAAATAATGACCATTCTGCACCTATTCTGTTAGGAAGACCATTTTTAAAAACTGCAAAAACAAAAATTGATATTCATAGTGGCACACTTACTATGGAATTTGATGGTAATGTTGTTACATTCAATATTTATAATGCTATGAAATACCCTGGAGGTGATTTTGTTGCTTATTCTGTTGATATTATTGATTCATTGGTTGAAGAAGTTTTTGAATTTAATGGTAAAGATAAATTGGAAGTTGTTATTTGTGAACACCTTGAAAATGATGAATTTGCTATGAGTGACAATTTACGCGAAATTATTGCATCATTGAATCATTGTCCTAAATTGCACCAACAAAGTAATGTTTCTTATATGGCTTTACCTGCTTCTAGTGAAAAATTGTTACCATCTGTTGTGCAAGCACCGATCCCCGCATTGAAACCCCTTCCTGAACACCTTAAATATGCTTTCTTAGGAGAAAATAAAACATTGGCAGTCATAATTTCAACTAAACTGTCTGCCATAGAAAAGGAAAAACTTGTCCAAGTGCTAAAAGAACACAAAACTGCCATTGGGTGGACAATTGCAGACATCAAAGGGATAAGTCCATCCACTTGCATGCACCGAATCCTTCTAGATGAATGAGCAGAACCATCTCGTCAACCACAAAGAAGGCTAAACACGCCCATGATGGAAGTAGTCAAGGAAGAGGTCATCAAACTCCTTGGAGCCGGGATAATCTATCCAATTTCAGACAGCAAATGGGTTAGCCCAACTCAAGTGGTTCCTAAGAAAACAGGGATTACGGTTGTCAAAAACCAAAATGATGAACTGATCCCCACTCGTATTCAAAATGGGTGGCGAGTTTGTATAGATTATAGGAAGTTGAATGCTGTTACAAGAAAAGATCACTTCCCCTTACCGTTTATTGACCAAATGTTAGAAAGGTTAGCTGGTCGCTCTTATTTTTGTTTTCTTGATGGTTATTCAGGTTATTTCCAGATTGCAATTGCTCCAGAAGACTAGGAAAAGACGACTTTTACATGTCCCTTCGGCACTTTTGCATATCGACGCATGCCGTTTGGCCTCTGTAATGCCCCAGGTACCTTTCAAAGGTGTATGGTTAGTATATTTTCTGATTATGTAGGGCATATGATTGAAGTTTTCATGGATGATTTTACAGTTTATGGTGACTCTTTTAATACCTGCTTACATAACCTTTCACTTATTTTGAAAAGATGCGTAGAGAGTAATCTTGTGTTAAATTCTGAAAAATGTCATTTTATGGTTGAACAAGGTAATGTCTTAGGGCATGTTATTTCGTCTAGTCGGATTGAGGTTGATAAAGCCAAGGTTGATATTATAGAATCTCTGCCGTATCCCACTAATGTGCGGGAAGTCCGCTCTTTTCTTGGACATGCAGGTTTTTATCGAAGGTTTATCAAAGACTTCTCGAAAATAGCCTTACCTTTGAGCAAATTGTTGCAGAAAGAGACATCCTTTGAGTTTGACAAAGAGTGTAAAGGAGCATTTGACGAATTGAAAGAGTTGTTGACATCTGCGCGGATCATTCAGCCACCTAACTGGGACTACCCATTTGAGATTATGTGTGATGCAAGTGATCACGCAGTTGGGGCTGTGTTGGGCCAAAAGATCGGGAAATCTTCCCACGTTATTTATTATGCTTCTAGGACTTTAAATGATGCTCAGAAAAACTATTCTACTACAGAAAAAGAACTTTTAGCCCTTGTTTTTGCTTTAGAAAAATTTAGGTCTTATTTGCTGGGCACAAAAGTTATAGTTTATTCTGACCATGCAGCTCTTCGCTACTTGATGCAAAAGAAGGAAGCCAAACCACGATTAATAAGATGGATACTCCTCTTAAGTGAGTTTGATGTGGAGATCAAAGATAAGAAGGGGTCAGAAAATCTTGTGGCCGATCATTTGAGTCGGTTGGTACACATTGAACCTGAACCTCCACTGCGAGAAGCATTCCCTGATGAGCACCTATTGGCTGCAACTGTGGTTTTACCTTGGTATGCTAACATAGTCAACTTTTTGGTTGCTAACAAGTTTCCTTTTGATTCCTCTAAGGCACAAAAAGATAAAATCAGGAGTAATGCCAAGTACTATGTATGGGATGAACCGTACCTCTGGAAACATTGTGCTGACCAAGTGGTAAGGCGGTGTGTACCTGATGATGAAATTGCTTCAATCCTTACCTTTTGTCATTCTTATGCTTGTGGAGGCCACTTTGGTGCTAAGAGAACAGCAAGGAAGGTATTGGAGTCTGGATTTTATTGGCCAACTTTGTTTAAAGATTCATACTCATTTTGCAAGTGTTGTGATGCTTGCCAAAAGTTAGGTAATTTATCCCGGAGAAATGAAATGCCACAAACTCCGGTCCTATTTTGTGAGGTTTTTGATGTTTGGGGCATTGATTTTATGGGCCCATTTCCTGTATCTTTTGGTTTTGTTTATATTTTACTTGCTGTTGATTATGTTTCAAAGTGGATGGAAGCTAAAGCCACCAGGACTGATGATTCTAAAGTTGTTGCAGATTTTATCAAATCTAACATCTTTTCCAGGTTTGGCATTCCAAGGGCTATAATAAGTGATCAGGGTACTCACTTTTGTAATCGCACCATCGAAGCTTTGCTTAAAAAGTATCATGTCACCCATAAGGTGTCAACTGCCTACCACCCGCAGACTAACGGGCAAGCAGAGGTATCCAACCGAGAAGTAAAGTCAATCCTTGAGAAAACAGTCAACCCAAACAGGAAGGATTGAAGTTTGCGATTAGATGATGCATTATGGGCGTACAGAACCGCATACAAAACACCTATTGGTATGTCCCCTTATCGCATTGTGTTTGGGAAAGCTTGTCACCTCCCCGTCGAGTTGGAACACAAAGATTATTGGGCTGTCAAGAGCTTTAATATGAACATTGATGAAAGTGGCCTACACCGGAAGTTGCAAATTTCTGAGTTGGAGGAGATTCGCAATGAGGCCTACGAGAATTCAAGAATCTATAAAGAAAAGACAAAAGCATTTCATGACAAGATGCTTTTGAGAAAGGAATTTTCAATTGGACAAAAAGTCCTACTCTTCCAGTCACGTCTTCGGCTATTCCCAGGTAAGTTACGTTCTCGATGGGTTGGTCCATTTATTATCACTAATATTTTTCCTCATGGTGCGATAGAGATTCAAAGTTTACAGACTTCTAAGATATTCAAGGTGAATGGTCATCGGCTTAAACCCTACCATGAAGGGGCTCAAGTTGATTATATTGCCGATATACTTCTTGAAGATCCCAGCTACTTTGAATAATATGCACAACTAGAAGGGGAGTTTGTTCTATTCTCTTTTTCTTAATCGTTATTTTTCATTTAATAATCCTTTTCTGCATGTTTTTATTCAACATTGGGGACAATGTTGGTAATAAGTGTGGGGGGAGGAGATTTAGTTTTAGTTTTATTATTTCTCTGCTTAATTTAGTTTTATTGTTTGTTTGATTAATTTAGTTTTATTGTTTGTTTGCTTATGTCAAAAAAAATTTTTTTTATTATTTATTTTCTTATTTCATAATTTTCAAAAACATATTTTACTATTATTTTATGCAAAATAAGTATTATTTTGAAAAATAATATTTTTTTTTTCCTTCTTGGAATTCATAACATGATTGAATAAATAGTTTGCCAAGTTGTGATTAGTTTGTTAACACCTCTTGTTTGATATGTAGTGGCTATATTAAGTAAGCAATAAACCTGTGAGTATTTTGAGCCACTGACTGACACTTCGGTCTTATTTTCTTTCTTTTGTGTGATTTCTTCCATAATTTTGTTTCTCTAGAACTTGCCTTGATTCTCTTTTAAAGCTAATTAGACCATGCATGATTCAAATGTGATTAAGGCCATTATTTGACTTTGAGCCTCACTAGCCAAATAACCGGTTTGTCCTATGATTTATTTCCCTTTGTTAACCACTTTGAGCTTTATGGCCATTCCTTTCTTTATTTTGGACCACATTACAAGCCTTTTAAATATCTAAAATAATGCCTTCACCCAGCTGAATAACTAGTGGAGCAAATTTTGGATTATTTTTGTAATCTACGTGAGGTTGGGAAGGATAAGTGTGGGGGAGATCACTTACTCTTATTAATATGATTGAGAGTGAGGTGAGTTGTATCTTCGTTGCCAATATGTCGTTGGTCTTCTATGAAAAAAAAAGAAAAGAGGAAGCAGTTCACGATTCAAAAAAAAAAAAAAAAAAAAAAGCATGAAAAATTGAAAAAAATGAAATGGAAAAATGAAGAATATACGTTTGAAAAAGAAGAATATTGCTGAAAATTTATGAGAAAATGAAAAAGAATCAGCAATTGATTTTGAGTTGAAGTTACTTCTAAATAAATGAAGTAAGGGGAAATTCTGGTAATACTGAGGAAGCATTCTGTACCTCAATGGGATGTGTTTTTTGATTGGAAATTGAGGGTGTTGGATTACTTGTATTTATTTGTTCCTCTAGTTTGAAGCTTTTGTTTAAGCTAATTTCCTAAAAATTCCCTACCTTAACCCTAGCCCCATTACAACCTGTGAAAAGTCCTTATGATTTGTGTCATGCATGATTCTTGTAGTGGTGATTGAGAAGATATGCAAGCCTATGGTAGATCAATTTTATAGGAATGAACTTGAGTGAAATTTATACCCATCAAACACTTGAGTGATGAGTGATATTCCTGTGAGGGCTTACTTATTTAGTTTTCTCCATTTTCAAACAGGGTGCTAACTTATTAATTGCAGGGTGCTTCAGATTGTTGTTCATGATATGTTATGAGTTTTGGGAATTTCATTTCTATTTACTTCGCAAATAATATTTTTGCTTGGGACAAGCAAACGTTTTAGTGTGGGGGAATTTGATGGGCATATTTTACGCTCATATTTTAGGTACATCTTTATAATATTTTTATATTAATTATTTAATATTATCTAATAATCAGTTCTTTTTATATACATAGTATAATCTATTCTTATACTATATACTATTCTTATACGTACTTAATACTATATATATATATAATATACAATATAATATATAATATAATATATATAATATAGAATGCATTATAGTATACATATAATGCGTACTACATTATAATTACTTTTATATATATATATATATATATATATATATATATATATATATATATATATATATTATAAATCTAAACTTTACAATTGATTTTTTCTTTTTTGTACAGGCATGCATCATAATAACATGGCTGGAATTGTGGAAGACTCAGGCATAAGGCAAAATAATAGGAAAAATGAGTGGTAGAAAATGATTGGGAAAATATATAAATAGTTAAGGTTTTCTATTGTAAAATGTTCATTCTTCCCTCCTCTATAGTATTCGTTGAAGTTGTTATCAATGTCCATTTGTGGCTAATTTCTAGTTTGTTTAGTGAATTGAAGCCCGGGAGTTCATAACGCTGTAAGGTTATTTATTTAACTTTATTATATATATGTTTTTATGCATTTTGAGTATTAAATATTCTTCTAAATTATTTGAATAGTTGTATCATTTAATTGCTAGGGAGGCCTACTAGTTATTTATTTGATATAATTATTTGCTATATTAGATAATGTTGTGCTACAAATTATTCTAATATTCAGTAGCAACTGAGGTTAATTATTGACGGCTTAGTGATAATTGGTCTCGGGTAGAATATTTTCCTAAATTAAATGCAACCGCTTGTGCTTGTGTTATTTAGTTTGTCGGTTTTCCTAGTTCCTATTGCTGTTATTAAATTAAATCTATAGCGCTTGTCTTAGATTATTTAGTAGTTAGGGGTAATTAAATCTATAGCGCTTGTCTTAGATTAATGAAATACTAATCTATATATATTGCGTCCTACTAAAAGTAATATATAATATAATATAATATATATATAATATATAATATATAGCTACGATGCATAATAATAGTATATATACAATACGTACTGCATTATAATTATATATATATATATATATATATATATATATATATATATATTATAAATCTAATCTTTAGATGTTGTTTTGTGCAGGTCAAATGTGGTGCGCCAATCATGGCAAGACCAAGCAGCTAGACTTGGTAGGGAGGCACAAAAATAAGGAACGTGTGGTAGAGAATAGTTTGGCCTATTTTTAGAATGCTATAAATAGTAGGAGTTTCTTATTGTAAAATGTTCATTCTTTCCTCCTCTATAGTATTTGTTGAAGTTGTTATCAATGTCCATTTGTGGCTAATTTCAAGTTGGTTTAGTGAATTGAAGCCCCGGAGTTCATAACGCTGTAAGGTTATTTATTTAATTTTATTATATATATATGTTTTTATGCATTTTGAGTATTAAATATTCTTCTAAATTATTTGAATAGTTGTATCATTTAATTGCTAGGGAGGCCTACTAGTTATTTATTTGATATAATTATTTGCTATATTAGATAATGTTGTGCTACAAATTATTCTAATATTCAGTAGCAACTGGGTTAATTATTGACGACTTAGTGATAATTGGACTCGGGAAGAATATTTTCCTAAATTAAATGCAACCGCTTGTGCTTGTGTTATTTAGTTTGTCGGTTTTCCTAGTTCCTATTGCTGCTATTAAATTAAATCTATAGCGCTTGTCTTAGGTTATTTAGTAGTTAGGGGTAATTAAACCGCTTGTGCTTTATTTACCTACAACTAAGGGAAAACAGAAATGAAATAATTTCACGACAAATATTCAATTGCATATTAATTACTTTATTAATCAATGATCAGTGTTGAATTCCGGTGGTGGATCTTTACTAACCAAGGTCTCCTATTATAAGTGTTTTCGATATATTATTTTCATTGCTTTATTCGTTCAATTAAATTTCTTGTTTATTTAAATTCTCTTTTATTTTATCTTTATTCTCGATATATTCCAAACCCCCCTAACTTTAATTTGAGCACAAAAGTCAAACTAGTTACTCCTCGTGGGATCGATCCTTACTCCCGCTACTACGTTTGTAAGGTTTTAATTTGGAAGCCTACGACAGCTCACCAAATTTTGGCGCTGTTGCCGGGGAGATTTTCTAGCTTATTTTGTGTTTGTTTATTTATTTAATTATTTATTTTGTTATTTGTTTATTTGTTTTTCAATTTGTCCCAAACGAAAATAAAAATAATAATTTTCTTTTCTTTCATTACTTTTACATAATTGCAAATCAAAATATATTTTCTTTTTGTTTATGCCTATAACTCAATCTGCTAATCAAGAACTCTTGCCGTACTATCCGGAAATTGAAAGAACTATACGCAGGTGGAAGAAACAAGCTTTGAGAAAATTGGAGTTTAGTGATCTGGCTACCGATTCTACCAATTCTGATTTAGAAGAGGAACCCATGGCTCAAAATCGGACTTTAAAAGAGCTTGGAGCTCCAAATTTGGATCAGCAACCTTTATGCATTACTTTTCCCGCTCTGGATGCTAATATACAATTTGAACTAAAATCTGGGTTAATTCATCTTTTGCCTTCTTTTCATGGACTTGCAGGTGAAGATCCGCACAAACACTTAAAGGAATTTCATGTGGTGTGTTCGAGTATGAAACCCACAGGGGTTACTGAAGAACAAATCAAGTTGAGAGCCTTTCCCTTTTCGTTGAAAAATTCAGCGAAGGATTGGCTATACTATCTACCTTCTGGGAGCATCACCACATGGAATAACTTAAAGACATCATTCCTTGAAAAATATTTCCCAGCTTCAAGGGCGGCCAACATTAGGAAAGAAATCTATGGTATAAGGCAAAACAATGGAGAGTCCCTATATGAATATTGGGAGCGTTTCAAGAAACTATGTGCAAGCTGCCCACACCATCAAATTAGTGATCAATTACTCATTCAATACTTTTATGAAGGACTTTTTCCAATGGATAGAAGCATGATTGATGCCGCAAGCGGTGGTGCTTTAGTTGACAAGACACCAGACGCTGCAAGAACTCTAATTGCAAACATGGCTGCAAATTCTCAACAGTTTGGCAATAGACTTGTCCAACCGTCTAAGCAAGTGAATGAGGTAAATATTTCTGCTCTTGAACAACAAATTACTAGTTTAACTACTCTTGTTCGTCAATTAGCAGTAGGCAATATGCAAACTGTAAAAGCATGTGGAATTTGCTCGGTAGTTGGGCACCAAACTGATGCCTGCCCAACTCTTCAAGAAGAACCTATTGAAC